GCAGATGCCGCTGCTGCAGGGGAGGTGTAACCGAGCAGACTTTAGATGTTATTTCTCTTCTCCTGCAGCTGCCATTTTCTTTGCCAACCAATTTACCTTTGTTGATTGTGTGACCAGGGATGACATTTGGTAGCACTTAGTGATGGGTGTGAGGGTGGGTCCCTATATCTAGCAGTTGCTCTATTAACTCTCTAACTTCTGACTGTCAACCCTCCTGCAGCCGTGATCCTCCCACCTGCGGCAGCAGCTATTTACTAGGGCTGTGCGAAAGAGCACAATTTTGTTTTGACTTCCATTTCACTGGGACAGTGTTTTGTTTCAAGTTTCATTTCATTTCGAAGCACTGTTCCATTTTGTTTAGTCAAAACTGTTTCCCGGATTCAACGCTGTTTTGGCGTTTCACCCATAGGCTATAAAGGGGAATCACAAAACTGCCTATAACTTTGTCATTTCTTGCCTTTTGAATGAAAATAGTAGGAAGGGTAGCCTCTGCTGCGGCCACAAAGCCAGCCAAGTTTTAAGGAGATAGGTGCAGGGATTTCTGGGAAACTGCACCTCAAATTCTTGAAAGCAAAACTCATGTCACTTGTAAGTGTGCAGGCACAAGGGAGTGAAAACAGCAGGCATGGTAGCCCCTGCTGAGGCCATGAAGCCTGCCAGGTTTCAAGGAGACAGGTACAGGGGCTTCTGGGAAACTACATCTCAAGCCTCAAGCTTCTGACAAGCAAAACTTGTGACCTGTGAATGTGTGTGTATGTTAAGGCACAGCTGTTTTTCTGTCCCTTCCCCAGAGCACTGGGATTGGAAGGAACACCAGGGAAGGATCACAGTCACTGGCCAGCTACACATGTCAGTATCAGAGCAGTCCTTCCCCACCTCTTCCCCCTCCCTCTGCTTAGTTTCTGATTCCCTGCAAGCATTCTCTCCTTGTCTCTGGTTGTTCTGACTAAAAACTTATATTACTATCCTGTGTGCTGAAAACCTGGAATAAATCCATGTTAAGATCTCCAGAAGAAGAGACAGCATGTTTTGAAACTATAATCTAAAACTGTGCATTGCTAGCTAAGCAAAAGCCAGATGATTGAGCACTAGGAACAGCAGTTAGAAGTGAGGGCCTCTCTACATGTTATATTTATGCCATGATTGTATTAATAGTCATTAAATGACTAACCAGCTGCAACAATGATCTATGTATCATATAGACCATATTTATGGCTGGTTTATATGCTCCTTAAACTAATCATGTGGCATGTCCCAGGGTACCCCAGGGCCAGTGCAGACACTCAGCTGATTGTTGGGCCCAACCACAGCTGGATTAATATGTAGGCAAACTAGGCACATGCCTAGGGCCCTGAGCTGCTGGGGGAGGTGGGAGAGGAGACCTTTCCTCTGTTGCGGTGGCGTGAATGGCCTCATTTGCCTTCCTTCCTTTCCCCTCCCTTCCACTGGCCTCGTCACCACAGCGGCTGCTGTGTTTGCCTAGGGTCCACTAAAGTGCTAATACAGCCCTGGCCCCAACCCTGGCGTAGCTTGGAGTCTCAAATGAGCCCTGGTGCTGTGTTAAGCTAGAGCTAACAATCAGCAGGGGCACAGCCCTGAGTCATGGGGGGTTGCAGGCACACAGCTTTTAACTTGCCAGTGCACGTGGAGCCCAGGCGCATTCTGCACTGGAAAGTAGGAAGGTTATAATTTGGATCTGATCTCTGATCCCAAAGTCACACCCCCTACCATGTACATGAGACACAGAAGGTGGCCTGATTGTTTGGATCAGGGGTCAGACCCCAGGTCACCTTTGAATGAATGTGTGCCAGAGGCATAGAAGTATTCTCCACAAGTCATGTCAAGTTTGATAGCAAGTTAACCTATCCTCTTTTTCCCCCTTCGCTTACACTGAAGCTCCTTCTTCTAAAGAAAATGGGCTCCCAACCTCTCAGTTTCCTATATGTCAACTCAGTGCCTTTTGGGATGCTTTGGCACTAAATGAAAGGTGACAAAAATGAATTCAAGATATTCTGGAGTGCACTTTTACTAGGACAAAAGTGAGTGATCACATCTTCTTAGCTAACACTTATTGTTACTGTACTATTGAAAATAAGGCAGGCTGTTAGCATAAAAATGGCAAGACACTCCTGTGTAAGACACATTGTGTTCTTAGTGAGGACAAGGTCTCAGAGATATCAAAATGGGCTGTGACTTTTTTCATTAGTGAAGTGTCTCAGTCAGAAAGACTAAACCATTAGATTGCTACATGGTATTGTCATTTCTTGTAAGCAAGTCAGCTGAACTGCAGGATATGAAGTCTGACAGTACAAGCATCACACTACTGTTCTGCTCATCTCACTAACACTATCAGACACTTTTCAGCTTGGACTGCATGAGTCTGTCATCTCTATTTAAAAACACAACTTGGGAATTCATCATCAACTCATGACAAGTGCTATATTGAGCTGAAATAAATTACACCACGTTAGCTACCACACTTTCACTCAATTTAAGAATTTATCCATTAGAAGTGTTTAAATTGTGCATGCATGTATGTGTGTATACACAAACACACACACAATATAATATATACAATATTTGTCTGTGTGTATGCATGTATGTGTGTGTTTATATATCCATGTATGAACAAATATTTATGAATAAATAAATAACAGTGTTCATGAAATGCACACTGAAGTGCAGCACCCAGCCTGGAGAATGAAGCCCTCTGGTCTGCCACGGCTGTATGTATTCTCTGGCAGGAGGCAATGCAAGTTTCCCTGTGATACTCCACTTGACAAAGTTCAACCTTCTTCCTTGTTTTGGTGTCACACCTATCAACATGAGGCTCTCATGAGACCTTGTAAACTAGAAGTCAAGTTCAAATCTCATGGGGGCACTTAAGAAAAGGGCTCTTTGTTGGAAATGACAGCCTGGGCCGCAAGCATGTCAGTTTGTCTAAGAAGAACTTCCCCGTTAGGGGTTCAGGCACACAAGGACAGGAGTGGATTTACCAGGAGTGGGATGTGGACCCATGCACATGCACACATGCTAAAACTTTCCTGACATTCTGTGTGAAAAAGTGGAAAAAGAAATTGAGCGGGAGCACGGCGGTTCCGGAGCAACTGCTTGCTGCGCATAAAAGAGCCTGGCATGAGACCACGTGGGGTGGAGGCAGAGAGGGGAGTGAGAAGCATCCCCTCCGAGAGAGAGTGGAGAGAGGGCTACGGAGCTGGGGAGCTCCGAGAGTTTGGTCTAGTGTGTTGGAGAAGGCTGGACGAAGAAAGGAAGCAGGGAACCAACTGAAGATTTCCTGGAGAAGAAATAGAGGTGTGAAGAAGGGAGAAGCCACTTTTGTAAAAATAGTTATGAGTGTAAAAGAACCTGAAAAAGAATAAAAAGAATAGTTCAGCTACACACGACTGTGATTTGTGTAATATTCTTAATTCAGGCGCCGGGCAAGAAGGGCATCAGATAAGTGAACCACTGCCAGAAACTGCAAGAGGTTGCCAGTGACCTACTGCGGAGATAATACCTCCCGAATAATAACATCAAAATTAAAGAAGACGTGGCAGGAAAGAGTCAGAACAGACACAAGAGGGAAGAGGCAAGGCAGTGAGAGAAACTGTCACATTCTGGAACAGCTTTTCGTCTCTTGGGCAGCAAGGATGGAATAGGGGGTGAGCACAAAGCAAATTTGCTTTTGAGGACGGAGCTCAATAAGTTTATGGAAGTGATTGTATTAAGTGATGCTTGATTTTATGACCAGGAGTTACCTTCTTGTCCTATGTTCCTAAGAGCATCCGAGCACCTGAAGGGATCACTATGGATTGCCTGAGACCAAACATCCAACAGTTAATAATAATTTCCAAATCCAGCTTAGGACAACTGACTGAAACCTATTACCTTAGAAGCAAAAGCTTCTGTGTATAACTGGTAATTTGAGCTCCCTTACCTCTCATTTTAGGTATTTTATGAGCTAAAACATGTTTTTATTAAAATAAAAAATGAATAGTAGTTTACCTTGTTAACAATTATATTCCTATCATTATCACAACAGTAAGCATTCAAAAAAATCAAAGCAAATTGCAAGTCATAAGACATTATTATTTTAAACGTTGACATTAAAAAATATCAAAATTAAGGATAATAAATTTCTCAGGGTTTACATATGTAAGCCTTTCTTCACAACTGCAACAATTGGAGACTTCCCTTTTCAATGAAAGCTGAAACTCTCACATAGTCATACAAAACTAGGAGCTGGCCCTTAAAGAAAAATCACACAAAATAAACAAAACCCACACATAATCTATAAGCTTGCATTTAAATAAGAGAATTGCAACATTGAAATAAAAATTTGTAAAACATCAGCTACCAGCACGAGAAGGGGTGCAGAAGGACAGGAGTCCTAAAATGGCCAAATAATTGTTACTGGAATGTTATGAATGGAAGAATAAATCACAAGACTTACTATGCAGTGTCACGCAGAAGCGTCAATCATAGATTTGGTGAAGCTTTGACTATTAGCTGGTAGTCCTGGGATTGCTTATAATGTTGGACAGTACTATGAAATATGGAAAGTGACTTTCAAGTAGGAATTTTCTGGACTTAGATGCATTTTCTTATATTGCATCAGCAGAAGAAATTAATATTTTAAATGGTTTAATAAACATTTTCTTATCACATATGAAATTTGTACAAAAATGTGCTGTTAAAGTGGTACCACTAAGTTAATGGTGCTTTAAACCATACTGCGACATATAGTTTTCATAGGATGGATGTTGCATCAAAATAAAGAAAACAAGTAAATATTATCAGACAATAAAATGAAATGGTAATAACACAACAGGAAAAGGTCATTAAATACAAAACCTTTGTACATGGGTTTGACTGGCTTTCTCTGCTAGAATCATTGTGAAATATTGGCCCATGTACAAACATGGTACTTTCCCCACCTTTTTGGATATTTTTTTTAACATCCATGGATATAAGCAGGTAATGATAATTTGATTACTTACATGTCTTTCTTAAATTGTAATCAGTTCTGTGACAGGTAGATGACTGTCTTTCTAGCCTAGGGAGTATTCATTTCTATGCCCAAATCTCTTTCAGGACCAGTCTTATTCCACAACAAAAACTTAAGGAAAGCAAACAAAACAGTTCTCTGACCACCTGGACTTTCTATTCCTTCCCTTCAATTCCCTTGCTTCAGACTTCACTTCACTCCTATAGCTTCTCTGCAATAATCTCAAGTTCTTCATAAAGAACACCTGACCATTTCCCAACTGGGTGTAATAAGTAGACAGATTAGGCTAACCCCAGCCCCCAGTCTTTAAAGGAGCAGGCCACTCTGTTCCATGAGTATTCCTAAATTACTTTTTACAATGATATCCAGGAGTCTTCAGATAAGACTGAATATCATTCCATTAAAAGCATTGCCTCAGGGATCTATTGGTGTAAGGTTCTCAGCATAAATTATCAAGAGACTGAATTTAGATTAACAGCTGATAAATGGTGGTATAGGACTCAGGACCATATTTGCCTATATCTGGGCATGTCTACATGTGCCTTTACATGCACCTTAAATTGGCATGTGTAGATGTACCCTCTATGACCCCTAGACACAAATTCCTAGCCAAATTTCAGATGGTTATAAACTTCAAACATGCATTGACTTAAATTAAGAGATCCAATGCCTTTAATATCAACTTCTTTGTTTAATACTGAAGTGCAGTACAGAAACATCAATTTTTTCTTGAACTGCTATATGGATAAAACACGATTTCCTTTGCATGCAGTTCATAAGAGGCTATTTATCTTGCATGGTGATCAGGAGAGGTCCTGGATGATTGGAAAAGGGCAAATATAGTGTCCATATTTAAGAAAGGGAAAAAGTAGAATCCAGGGAACTACAGACCAGTCAGCATCACCTCAGTCCCTAGAAAAATCATGGAGAAGATCCTCAAGGAATCCATTTCTAATCACTTGGAGGAGAAAAAGGTGATTAGGAATCAGGGATTCACCAGGGGCAAGTCATGCCTGACCAACCTGATTGCCTGCTATGATGAGATGACTGGCTCTGTGGATCTGAGGAGACCAGTGGATGTGGTATACCTTGCTTTTAGCAAGTCTTTTGATACGGTCTCACAGGCAAGCTAAGGAAGTATGGGCTAGATGAATGGACTGTAAAGTGGATAGAAAACTGGCTGAAGCATCGGGCTCAAAGGGTAAAAATCAATGGCCTGATGTCTAGTTGGCAGCTGGTATCAAGTGGAGTGTCCCTGGGGTTAGTCCTGAGGTTGGTTTTGTTCAATGTCTTCATCAACAACCTGGAAGATGGCATACAGTAGACCCTCAGCAAGTTTTCAGATGACACCAAGCTGAGGGGAGAAGTAGATATGCTGGAGGGTAGGGCTAGGATTCAGAGTGACCTAGAGAAATTGGAGGACTGGGCCAAAAGCAATTTCATGAGGTTCAACAAAGCCTGACCTCTATCCTGAGGAAGGTCTTGGAAAAGATTATTAAAGAGGCCATCCTTAACAGACTGGCTGACGGCAACATCCTGAGGGATAGCCAGCACGGGTTTGTTAAGGGTAGGTCTTGCTTGACCAATCTCATTTCCTTTTATGACCAGGTGACCTATCACCTGGACAAGGGGGAAGAGATTGATGTCATATATCTTGACTTTAAAAAAGCCTTCGATCTGGTATCCCATGATCATCTCTTGGCAAAACTGGCTAACAATGGCCTCAGCCTCACCACAATCCGCTAGCTAGGGAATTGGCTCTGTGGTAGGACCCAGAGGGTGGTGGTTGACAGAAGTCAATCGTCGAGTGCGCTGTGACCAGTGGGGTCCCTCAAGGCTCTGTCCTAGGGCCTAT